CATGCATTAATTATGCATTAAAGCCAACAGTTAAAGGAAAATTAAGTTAAGTTAATAAAGAGCAATAATATTATAGATTTATAGGGCTTTTTAGGGTATAACAGACTACCTACAAAAGTCGGCAACTGATTTTTAGCGAATAAGCTGTCATATGAATGTACACAGCACTGTGGGGTTTCAGTCTTCTAAAAATCCATTTCAGAGAATCACCGATAGGGGAATTGGTGATTTAAACATCTGATATATTGGCAGATATTTTCTACTTTAGACACACAAAGCATAAACATAACCCTTCACTTTTATTATGTGAAGTAATTTATTAGTCCTCACTAAGATCGCATTACAGTGCAGTTTAAAATTAATCTTTCTTTAATTATACAACAAGTCGGGGATTACTCGTTTACGCTTACGAGCTGCCAGCAGGGAAGTGGTAGAGAGCCCTACATAACACTCATGACATGGTTAAAGGGCGTTGCTTCCATCTCTCTCTCTTTTTTTTTAAAATTTATAGGTGATTGTAAATGCTGATACTGATAAATCAATAAATGGCTGATATTGGCCGCCATTGATATCGGTCGGGCTCTAACAGTAAATATAACACTTCAGACATGCAGTTCTTTCCATTAATTCTTCTTTAAGCACTTAGGCCTGTTTTCCATGAAAGTTTAGATTTCGCAACATTTATGTTTCACTTTCAAAATGATTGCATGTTTTTAATGGGATTTGCTCAGCTCTCTTAAAAACATGATTGTTGGGCAGAATACACTAAACACCAATATCGTCAAATTCATAACAATTCAAAACTTTCCATTCAGTTCATTCAGTTTGTAGTGGATCTCTAAAGGAACAAAAACTATCATCCCTGCTGTAGACCAAGAATGGCCCTGTTCTCTAGGATGGATAATATGAATCGCCACTTATATCGGGTGGGTGTTAATTTACTTTGGTGGCCTGCCCACGTAAACTCTATATATGGGGAAACCCTACACTGCACCAGCTA